TCTCATGGTCACCACTGTCTGACTAAGGTGACTGTTTAGATGTATTTCCTTATGAAAGGAGATGAGGAGACATTTTGCCAAGTTTCCCTCTACATTATGATATTCTTTTTTAATTAGGCTTAAAAGATTGTGTCATTAAAAAATAGGGACATAAAAAAAAAATAGGGACATATGGCTCAGAGCTTCTGGATATATTCTGAAACGTGTTACGATCAGGGCTCATTCTGGTTCAGCTCCTTGCTGTGAACATGCCTTTCCTCACATAAGCACTGAACCAAAATCCATTTTAAGTCTCCCAAGGTAATTCTCAGGACAGCTAGGGTAAAAGGCAAATTCTCAGCAACAGGTCAAGCCAGAATGAAGCAGAATGAAGCCTTTCCAGGCCCTGGTTAACAGACATGACGCAAGTTTCACAGCTCAGGGCGCCCTGGGAGCCTCTGCTGCTACTTGCCTACCACTACCACCACCACCACCGTTGTGCCGAGAGCACACACATCTGGAGGCTAACACTCCACCACACCTTTTCTCAGTTTACAAACACCTTTTAATCTGGCCCTCTCTACCTGCTCATTAAGGAGCTCTGGGAGTGTGCCCTACAGCTAGCTGCTCTGGCCTCTCCCAGCGGAGAGAATAACGTGCAGTCTCCTGCCAGTTGTGATGCTGACCACCAGGTGAATGAAGGTGCAATGAGTGGAAACCAGCTGGCTGGCAACGCGTGCTCACTGTTGTGCTCAAGATGCCTTCGCGTCAGTTTGACTCACACTGACCCAACACACGGTGAAAGGAGGCCCTACGGGTTCTTACACATCTCCAGATCAGCTCGGGACCAGGCAGCTGAAACTCACAGAGTTTTCACGAGTTCTTCCCAGGCTCTGTTTGGAAGCTCTGTTGAAATATGGTCAGTGGCACAAAAACACACAAGCCTTCACTGACAGGACTGTGGTGGCTGTGCAGGGAGGCACTGGGCGGGAACTGAAGCTGGGCACCCGACCCTGAATGGGGGACAGCTCCCACTGCACCACCTGTCTACCTACTCAGGGACCTTTTAATGAGGAGGCCAGACGTCCCTTCTGCAGCAGACTGATGGCGATCGACTAACATCACAAGCACTTGTTCTTTCCCACACTAATTCAATTTTTCTCCCCAAATTAGCTTGGTAGTAAGCTAATTTTCATATAAATATATATATATATTTTTTTTTAAAGGGAACACTTCACAACTTTGCATGTCATCCTTGAGCAGCGGCCATGCTAATCTTCTCTGTATCTTTCCAATTTTAGTATATGTGCTGCCAAAGTGAGCACTTCAAGTTAGATAGTAATAGCTCTTTATTTGTGAGAGAAACAGATACTTGGTTAGAAGAACACTGAGCACTGAAAAATTGGGATGAGTCTAGTGAAGATGTCTGGGGCCTCAGAACTTCCAAGGCAGCCTAACAAAACTGCTGTGACCAGCACTTCCCTTCAATGCCTTTCACCTTCAAAAGATAGATTTCTAACTAAAACAAACACACCGGTTATGCCTCATAGTGACCCCACAAGCCCGACAAGAACAGTCCTGAGGTTTTGAAGGCTGTCACCTTTATGGACGCAGAGGGCCACATCACTGTTCCTCGGAGTGGGGACAGCATCAATGGAATTGGAACCAGCAACCTTCTGCATGGGAGCTGAGCGCCTAACCTCCGCACCATGAATGTGAATGGAAAAGAAGTGATCTTGTTCATTTTATCCCAGGCATCCCTGGTGGCAGTGGGTCAGCACTCTGCTGTTACTGTAGCAGTCTGTACAGGGAAGAACCATCGGAACCCTGTGGGGCAACTGCCCGCAGTCCTACAGGGTCACGAAGTCAGAACTGACCCGACGCCAGTGGGCATACACATAGCACGCTGGTGACACCTGCCCCAGTGTCTCTGGTCTTTTCTTCAGTTCCATGAGCTGAAAACACATCCAATTCCAACTGAATGGCCTCTCTGCTTTCACTGCAGATGTGGACATTATTCAAACCCACTGTCACATCTGACTTTTCTCTTCCCTCTTTTGCTGCCAGATCCCCTGGCTTCCTTCTCGGAGTTTCTATTCCTTTCCACTCCAACCATGAGTCATCCCATCCCCACAACTGTACTGAAACCCCACCCTGCTTTTCTATTTCTCCTGGCTATTTTTTTTTTAAACCTAGCTGCCATTCAACAGCTAGAAAAAAGTTCCCTTTAATAAGTAGCACAAAAATCAGCATTTTTCTCCCATTCCAATCATTTATCAATTATATTTTTATAAAGTCACTCAACTTTAGCTATGTGAATTAAAATTTATCTCTTTAAACCTACTCTTCTTTCTGTTATAATCCAAACAGATTGTTTTTCCACTTCTAAAACAACTCCAAATTTCACAGCTCCAATTACACTGAGAAGCAGCTCTGGTGGCACGGTGTGATGTGCTCTGCTGCTAAGGGGAAGGTCAGCAGTTCACAGCCAGCAGGCCACTTCTTGGTGGAAAAGGTGTGGCTGTCCACGTCCATAAAGATCAGATGCAACATCCTATGAGACCACTAGGAGTCGAACAGCTGGGGCTTGGGGTTCTAACAACACTTAACTCAGTCCTCAAGGCCCAGCACATACACACCCCTCAGATGCACTTCTCTGGGACTAGGTCCTGTTCAGTTGGTTTTCCCTGCAGAGCCTGGCAGTGTTTGGCACAGTGGAGGTGGCCAGGAAATGTTTGTTTAAAAAATTCCATTTTCTCTCCTCACCTCTTCTCCCTTTGCTTTTTGCTCTGTTCATACACAACACTCCCTAGAATTCCACCTCCGGGGGCAGACGCTATCCCTTACATACATGTTTGCTTCTACTTTCAGGGGGATTTTTCTCCTTTCAGGGGATTTTTATACTTTACGGGTAGGGCCTTGAGGAAACCCAAACAATTTGCTCAAGCTTTTACAAGCCAGGAACAGGCTCCTGGTTCCATGTGGGTGTTTAGCAAATATTTAGCATTCTTTCATCCAGGAAAAACAGGCCGAAAGACTACTGAAAAAGTTCTGTGACCAGAACCCAGATCTTCAGTCCCGCACCCAACTCTTTTTAGCAAGATAAGCAGCTAAGGTTGGTCAAAGAGTTCTGACCAGCCTTTTCCAAGCTCAGGAAGCTGTGGAGCCCAGAGAGGGGCAAGCGCTAGGGTCGCGAAGCTGCGACCCATATCCTGCCACCACCTGCTTTGTGTGTCACGACTTCCTCATCTGGAAAACGGGAAAGTGCTCAGAAAGTGCCCCGCACAGAAGTGCTCCTAAGGAGCATGGGGTGTCACGATTATTCCTGTCAGATCAGGGGCCAAATCCCAGCTTCCTTCAACATCAAATGCAGGAAGAGGGAGTGATCTTTGACAGAGGGCTGCTGCAAGGCTGCAGCCTATGACAAAGCTCCCTCGGGTCCTTGTTGTGAGTCTGTCCTTTCTCCTGGTCTCAGATTAGGAAATAATTTCCAAACACCCCATCAGTAGAAGAAAAACCTATTAACGGCTCACCAAGACAAAGTCTTTTAATGGACCTAGTGTTCCTTCTCACTCCTTTTCAGCCACAGGATTTCATTATCAGAGACAAATTCTCTCGCTTCCAAGGGCCTCATTTCCTGAAGGGCTTTAGTTAATTCGACTGACTAGCCTGCTGATGGCCGTGACCCACAGGACACACAAGCCCTGCCACAGCACCACTTCAATTACTGCCACTGGAAAATAACTGCTCCCACAACAGTTTTGCCAGCACAGCGGGATTCACATCCCCCCCCCCCCAGGAAAAGGCCCTCAGGTCCTGCAGGGGAAATGGGCCACACCTGTGCTTCACACAGCACCCACTTCACAGGTGGCTCCCTACGGTGATGCAGGTAGTCTCTGTGGGACAATCGCTTCATCTCCCAGAGAAGGAAACCAAGAGTCTTGGGAACAGCCAGCATGCACCATGCACCACCGGGAGGGTCAACCCCATCTAGCTGGAATGATCAGACGAGCTCACCTCAGACTCTGTAGCTAAAGAACGCAGACACGCTGCTGTGTCCATCCAGCAGCTGCAGGATGAATTCTCAAACCTCTGATAAAGAATTTTTCAAAGTAAAAGCAGAGGAGGGAAAGCTGAATTTATAGCCAAACTGTGGGGTGGCAGCTGGCTTTCTAGTGGATAAAGAGAGCAAAGTAAAAAGGAGAGGAGGATCTGGAGATGTTTTTAAATCACAGCTTTGCTACTTTGACCATTTGTTCAAGGCATTTGACCTTCCTTTTTCTATCCCATAAAACAGAGGCAGTAAATGGCATGTTGAGCAGCTTACCCAAAACAAGGGACAAAAAGCACAAGACCAGCACGTGGCCTCCCAGAAACGTGAGCACTTCATAGTGGAGACCCCCATTCCACCTCGGAACATTGGTATCCAAGCAAGTACAGTATCTAATCTCCCCTTACCACATAATGGTCAAAAGTACACATACAAACCAGCATATACATAACCCTGACTCTACCCCTTACTATGTATGCCGCCTTGGGAAAACTGCTTCACTTCTCTGGTTCCCGTCTTCATTTGTACAACAGCCATAACAAGACCTATGATAGATTCCACGGACTGCCAGCCTGGAAGTAAAGCTGGGCCCGACACTGCGGCCAGCACAAAGCCCACAGCCATGCAGTAGATTCCAACGCATAGTGTGACCTTCCATCCAGCTTCCAGACTGTAAATCTGCCTGACTTTCTCCTTCAGATCAACTGCCGGACTCAAAACATCCCCTTTTCCATTAGCATCACCCCATCCGGGCTCCTTAACCCACAGCTCAAAAAAATCGTGACTTCCCACCGTTCCCATCCCTCTGACCCTCAGAGCTGCCAACATCACCTGGCTGTTAGTAACACCTGCTTGGGGTGGGGGTGGGGGTGAGAGAGAGAGATCGATCGATTGATCAATCCATCCTGGCCCACCCACTGTAATACTGAAACGTGAAGTGTTAAGAGGCCAAGCAGAAGGGACCCCCTACCTCTGGAAAATCTCTTGCAGGGCTTCCCGAGTGAAGGCGTTGGCGTCCTGGAAGACGTTGTTGAGGGCATGGAGGGCACAGAGCTCCCTGCGCTGTTTCTCATGGTAGATCTGTGGGGGTGCTGCCTGGGGCAGCTCCAACGATTCCGATTTGGCCTTGTCTCCTTTCCATGGCATGCAACTCATGTTTTTGTTTCTCCCTGTAGGATCCAGACAGGGCTGAACACACCCCACCCTTCCCTCTCGAGGAAGAACGTAATCTTCTCAGGCTTTTTTTTCTCTCGGGGTTCCTGAGGTCCACCTTATTATTCTCGAGTGTCCACGATTTATGCTTTCTCACTGGGAGAAACGGTTGGAATCAAAAGGAAGAGAGAAAAAAAAAATTCCACTTCTCGTTCCTCAATAGAAAAAAAAATAACTCTTGGATTAGTTTATTTCGCTGCCACTGCCAAAATGCAGAGTTACGAAAAAAAAAAAAAAATCATAGAAAAGCTGAGACTTGGTTTCTCTTTTCTCACCGTCTCCTCTCCGAAAAGCACGATCTGCCGGCTGTGTTGTCCCCTCTACATGCCAACCAGGCCTGAAAGCAAGCGGACCCGGCGGAATCGGTCACATCGCTCCTTTTCTTCCATTTCCTGCGAACCACACACAACTCCACTGACCTAGGAGACAAGGCCCAGGTGGTGGACAAACGCCGAAGGCGAGCAGTCAGCGAGGGCCGGCCAGGCCGGGGTCGCCGGCCGCGCAGGGGCCCGGGGGCCGACTCTCCATCGAGCTGCGCGCGGTGGGCCCCGCGGGGCGCAGGCCGAGGCGGGCGCTTCGGGGTGGGGGTGGGGGACTCCCGGTCCCGGGCGACCCTGGGGAGGAGACAGGCAG